TCGGAAGATCATGGCAAAGGGAGCCGGCTACGGCTTGCAAGGGAGGGCGTTTGGAAGGGAAAAGGGGGTGAGACTGGTGTATTGGAGGGTGATAAATGCCAAATATTGTCTTAAAGACAAAAAAAGGACAACTGAGATCTTGCTGCAATCGAAGTTGCGGTAAGTTCTCTCTCCCCGGGGGAAATATTTCATGTAGCTGTTGATTTAGGAAAGATCAGTCATTTTTTCCCCTTGATTTATTCTCTTCTAACTGTTTTCGAGGAAGAAGGCCGTTATTTTAATGTAGCATTTTATACAAGGATGCTGAAACAATGCATGGCCGCGACCGAGTACATGGCCGCTGTGTTTCTGAAGGGCTTCCAGAGGTGCGGCCGCAGAGCTCTGCCTCTGGGGTGTGCGGACGCTTGGGAGAGCCTTTAAAGTCGGCCGTCGCCTCGCGCGCTGGCAGGGGGCATGGGAAGGTGTCGATGTGCTGCCGCGATCCCTGCCGCCCCGTTAGGGGATGGGGGGGCTGCAGCTCTGCCAGCGGATGGTTTTTAGGGTCTTCCATCCATGCTGCTGTCCTGCCGTCTGTCTGCTCCGGGCAGCCTCGGTGCTGCCATCCAGGGCGGCAGCATGTTGGCTCCGGCATCAGTGTGCGAAGCGCGGCCGGGCACGCCGACCAGTTGCCGGGGCTGCGGTGGGGGGACAGCGCTGTGCCCATCCTGCCCCGGGGAGCGGGCAGCTCTGCTCGAGAGCCACGGCAGCTCCAGCCTTGCTCTGCCTCGCGGGGCGGCTGCGCCCCAAAGCTGCCCAGGCTCTGTTCGGTGTGCTGCTGCGGTGAGCGGTGCCGGTGCTGCCGTGGGGGGCTGGCACCCACGCAGTCCCCGGCAGGGTGGGTGGCAGGGCTGAGTGGGAGCGTTGCACCGCAGGCAGCCGGGACAGGGGTGCAGGGAGGAAGGGGCTGCCCCGGGCAGGCGGTGCCGGGCAGGAAGCAGCCGGCGTTGGGGTTTCCGTGGGCGGCTGGGCAACCCCTGCCAGCAGCGGGTCTGGCTCTCCGGAGCCCCACGGGAAGGAGGTGCGGGGCTGGGGGGGCCTGTGTTAGCTGGGGCGTGCGGGAGCTGCCGGCTGGGGCTGGGGGGGCTTCGGGCTGCCGCCCCCCTGCTGGCACTGTGTGTGCCTGGCAGCCCCGCGCTGACAGCGCTGCGCCTCTCTCTCCTCCCAGATCTGCAACTGGTTCATCAACGCCAGGAGGCGGCTGCTGCCCGACATGCTGCGCAAGGACGGGAAGGACCCCAACCAGTTCACCATCTCCCGCCGAGGGGGCAAAGCTGGCGACGTGGCCCTGCCACGGGGGGCAGCTGCCGGCTCCGGGGTGCTGGTGGTGCCTCCTGTGACGGCCGCGGGGGCCTCCAAGGTGCTGTCCATGTCCGTGTGCCCGCAGGTACTGTGCCACCCCGCCCAGGCGCTGGGCAGCAACCTGACGGTGGTGAGCGCCCGCAGCCCCGAGCGGGAGAAGCCCCCTGGCCCGCAGCGCGCGGAGCCGGACCCTGCCCCCAAAGCGCCGCTGGGTGCCACCGGCAGCACCGTGACCTTGCTGGCCCGGGGCCGGGCGGCCAGCCCCCCCACCCG